TTTGGTTAGCCAGGTAAGAGGACCTAATTAAGTAACCACAAAACTCGCTTAGGCTTAGCCGGTTAACCTCTTTCCTTAGATACCAACCGCCGGTTATGGAAAGTAATTACAAGCTTCTTTAAAATTCAGCACACTTTTGAACCAAATGTGTGGGGCCTTCTAAAGGATATTGCTATCCAGATTTTAAATTAAGGTTTGGGGTAAACCACACGTGAAAGGGTGGTGGTTTTTGGGCCAAGGAAGGGTGGTGAAATCCCCACCTTATCTTATTTAAATTATATTGCCCTTAAATGGATTAACGGAAAAACACAATAAACAAAATAAATGCAACTAATTATAATGCATGAACAATTATCTCTAATATGCAATTCAACAATTTAACATAAAATAATAAAACAAACTAATTCAGCAAAAGGAGCAATTAAAAATGAAAAACCCTACCACATTAAATTCAAATTCAAAAGGAGCAAAAGGAGCAACTAAATTCAAATTCAAATTCAAATTCAAATTCAAAATTTGAAATTTAAACTCTAATTCAAAATTTTGAATAATTTCCTAATTAACAATCAATTATTCAATTAAACCACTAATCAAGGGAGCAATTAATTATAGCAACAATTAATCACAAAAAACAGAAAAGCAAAGGAACTAATTTTGCAAAAAATTAATACTACATAAATGAAGATTAAGAAGGGAGTTCGCTACTTAAAGATTAAACAGAAAAAAAAATAAGAGTATGCAACAATAAAAATCCAAGAAATGAAATGAGTTTCTAATATGAAAATAAAGAAAAAATAGAACCTAACAATCCTAAAAAAATAGATCTAAGAACGAAACAATAAATAATCCTAAAAAAAATAAATCGGATCTGACAAGAAATAAAAAGAATTAACTAAGAATTTAAAAACACTACTTTACCAAAAAGAATTCAAAAATAAAAATAAAAAAAGATGATTAAATTGGGATGACTACACCTGAATCGCAATCCTAATTTCTCTTCTCTTCTCTTTTCTTCAATAGTCCGGTAACACTCCGTTACCCCACCTTTTGCTATTACAAATCAAGTAATTAAACGAAAATGAAAAAATAATGAAATAGATCCGAACAAAGCAAATAAAATTTTTTCTCCGTTGCTTCCCTAGAAACGGCGCCAAAAACTTGGTGTGTCCGGAAGCATGTCGTTAACCACTTCGGAACACTAGTTTCAATATTTATAAAATTTTTCAATTCTCAAAATAACTACAAAACGCAGTTAATGGTGAGAAACGAGTCGTATCCACAGGGAAGCGAGGGAAAAATTGTTACGTACTTCAATCCGGACAAAATAAAAAGATTTAAGATTGCAGAAACACAAAATTTAATTAACTGAACTAGAATCCATTAAAATAAAATTCTAATAGTGCTAAAAGTAAAAATTGTAGAAAATAAATAATAACAGAAATAAAAAAACTAAATAAAAAATCTGCAACTCGGTCAGAGGTAGTAGTCTCCGGATCTATCCTTTGACCCTCGAACTCCTTGAGCTGGTCCTTCCGTCTTACCTGGCCGAATTTCAGATCTGTAGGAAGGAAGACAAAAATTAAATTTGATAAAAATAAATTGCAGAAATAAAATAAAAACTGAAAATTAAAGAACGGAAAATAAAAACGCGAATTAAAAGTAAATCTAAAACTATGGGAAACTGGTTGGGATCCGGATCTAGAGGTGGAAGTAGTGGCTAGGCGAACTGCAAGCAGGAACCCCTCCTCTTGCCTGGGCGTTCTCCTCTTCCTCTACCATTGAACTTCTCAAGAACAGCCTTCAGTCTTACCTGGGGGCAGAATCCAACCCCTTCTCAAGACCCCTTGGGTCATTTTATAAGAAGGAAGGATAGGTTTGGGATTAGAGAGAAAGAAAGGGACGACAGTTAGGTTTTTATAGAAATATGGGCGCCCTAGGGTTGAGAATGGAGGGTTAGGATTGTTCTAAGGTGATCCTAAGGCTGAGAAGAGAAGGAGAGGGCACCCAATATTATGTAGGGCTGAGATTTAAGCTCCTAGGATTGAATGGTGGAGACTAAAAGGAGTGGGTGGTGTCCTAGGGTGAGTGGCTGAGATAGAGAGTGAAATAGAGGACTGAGATCTAGTGGCTAAAGGCTGAATTGTGGAGATTAGGAGTTAGGTGGCACCTTAGGGTTAGAATGCTAAAAAGATGGCACCCTAGAATGGAGGGTGTATATTGCAAGGTGAAGATCTAAGGGTATGAGAGGTTGCTAAGGCTTGGATGATTGAGATTAGATGCTAGGGAGGAGTGGAAGGTGAAGATTTAGCAGTTAGGGGTGGCTAGGGTTTGTTAGAGGTGAAAAGAATGAGTGGGGAGGCGCCCTAGGGTTTGCTAAGGAGAGGGGAGTATGCTAATACAGTAGGAGGGGCACCTTTCTAGGTTTAGCAGATAGGAGGCGCCCTCCTGTGCTCATTTTTCACAGAAACACTCCCTCTCTTAGCTGGAACTCGCACCAACTTCCCAAAATCTGTAGGAAACTCTACAATTTTCCCAAATTTTACCCAGAATTTGCATAGGGACCCTCAGAGGTCACAATATTGAATTTAACCGAAAAATGGTACAAATTAGCTAGTCTAAGGTCTAAAATACCCTTGAAATGATGCCCTTAAGGCATCAAAATACAGAGTTATCAACTAGGCCAGGTTTTAGCTCAACCCAGGTGCAACCCTAAGAATTAGACCTAAAGCCCAAGCCCAGCCTAAGCTCGAGGTCAAGCCTGAATTATCCAACCCAAGCCCAGCCTGCACTAAAATGTCAAGCACTCAGGTTGGGCCCGGGCCCAGGCCAGACTTGGATTGGTTAATGAATCCTTCAACAAAACTAAGAATTTACATACTAAAGCAACCCTATATTGAATTATATGGTAATAGAAAATTGGTTTTCCTTTTCTTTAAAGATGCTCTCAAATCAATCCTTCAACAAAACAAAAAAATTACGTTCAAAATTAGTCCATCATGAACTCATGCATAGTAGAAATAAGATGAAATAAAATAAAGAAAAATGCAACAAGGGTGTTGATATGATATATACCTTCTTTGTCTTTGCTTCACCAATAATGTTTATGAGATGTAACCAAAAAAACCAATGGCTTGTAGGTGTTTGTAGGAAGAATAGATATTGGATAATTACTAGATTGTGGTGCTACTGAGAATAAAAAAAATAAAAAGAAGGGACTATACATAAGTCTTAAGTTAAAAAAGAACTTTAAGAAAGAAGAATGAATATTGAATACCTGTTTTCTCTTCAAGATAGTAATAGTGGTTTTGGCTACAACTGCAGCAACGTAGAAAGAAAAACAATTTGAAACTTTGAATATGGGAGAGGAGAGTACTTGTGATTTGTGAACCAAGACTCCAAGAGGAAACTTTAGTATTAGGGTTTTAGATTTTTAAGAGGTTTTCACGTTTTGGAGTTTTGGGTTTCCTGCTGCCATAATACCATTTGAAATTTGAATTAAAAGAAGTTGAAGCGTTAAAGACAAAAAGAGGGAAATCGGTATTTAGAAAAAGAAACTAATTAATGAGTAATGACTAATAAATAATGGCATTGACACGTGACACCTAATACTAAATTAGTAATTTACTAATTAAGCAACTATCATTGAGTCATTAACATACGATTCAACTATATACACATATATTATAATTTATAAAAGTACATGTACAACACATCAGGCCGGGCTCGGGTTGGGTTGGGCTTAGGTTGGGTCAGACCAGGCTCGGGTTACCCAAGACCTCAACCCAAGCCAAACCCGAAAAAATATAAAAATCCACCTTTTCAAGCTCAGGCCCAACCCGAGGCCCAAAAAATCCAACCCAGCCCATGAAAAAATCGGGTCGGGCCGGGCTGGGTACGGGTTAAGCCCATCCAAGTTGCACCCCTAGGTGTCGGCCCTCATGTTCTCGGCCCGCGGAACTTGCAACAAGGCAAAGCGTTGAAAGTGGCGGGAAAACTCTTGTACTTTGGCCAAGTACTTAGTCATGTTGGGTTCTTAGGCCTTGTACTCGCCATTTACTTAGTTCACCACCAGTTGAGCGTCGCTAAAGACTTCAATCTTCCAAGTGCCGAGGTCTTTGGCAAGTTGTAATTCGATGAGTAGGGCCTCGTACTCAGTTTCATTGTTGGAGGTTGAGAAGTCAAATATCAATGCGTACTCCACCTCATTGTCATTCGGGGTGAGGAGTATGAGGCCAGGCTACCATTGGAAGATCCATCCACAAACAGTTTTCAAATCGGCCGAGGTCCCTCATCCTCTACGGGAGCCTGGCCGAGGGCTCTACTGAAGGTGCACTCCACCAAGAAACCCGCCAAGGCTTGCGCTTTGATTGTAGGCCTCGGTTGGTACTGCAAGTCAAACTCAGATAGCTCAATAGCCCACTTGGTCAGTCGACTTGAGGTCTCGGGCTTGGAAAGTACCGACTTGAGAGGTTGGCTGGTCAAGATAGTGATGTTGTAGGATTTAAAATAAGGTCTAAGTTTCCTAGCCGAGACCACTAAGGCGAAGGCCAACTTCTCCACTTCAAGGTACCTGGTCTCGGCATCACAGAGGACCTTGCTGACATAGAAGATAGGCCTCTGCACTCCTTCTCTCACTAAAACAGAATTGACGGCCTCGTCCCCGGCCAAGAGGTATAGGAACAATATGTCTCTTGGAAGGGGGCGAGTGAGCAGAGGGGGTGAGTGAGCAGAGGGGGCGAGGCGAGGTAAGACTTCAGCTTGTCAAAGGCTCGTTGGCACTCTTCGGCCAACTGGAAATCTTTCAGTTTCTTGATGGCTCAAAAGATGGGTAGGCAGCGGTCGACTAACTTCGACGTGAATTGGTTGAGGGAAACCAATCAGCCAGTAAGTCTTTGAGTTTCTTTGATCGACCCAGGTGGTGCCATGTCAAGTATAGCCTGAATCTTCTCTGGGTTGGCCTCAATACCCTAATGTGTGATGACGAAGCCCAAGAATTTTCCTTAGGTGACGTCAAAAGCACACTTGTTGGGGTTAAGCCTCATGTTGTACTTCTTTAGTGTAGCAAAGGTCTCGGCTAGGTCCGAGGTGTGCTTATCGGCCTTCAAGCTTTTCACAACCATGTCATCCACATAGGCTTCGACACTTCTTCCCATTTGGTGCTTGAAGACTTTGTTCACAAGTTGTTGGTAGGTGACACCAGTATTCTTCAGGACGAAGGGCATGACTTTGTAGCAGTAAGTGCCATGCTCCATGATGGACAAGGTCTTCTCCTCGTCCTCGACATGCATCTTGATCTGTCTATATCCTGATAAGGCATCCATGAAGCTCAACAGCTCGTGCCCTGTGGTGGTGTCAACAAGGTGGTCGATCCTTTGCAAAGGAGACCTGTCTTTGGGACATGCTCGATTGAGGTCTGTGAAATCAATACAGATTTTCCATTTCTTATTAGCCTTTTTAACCATTATCACATTGGACAACTAGTTAGGGTAATGTACCTCTCGAATGAAACTGGCGTCAAGTAACTTGTCTACCTCCTCTCCGATGGCTTTCCAACGCTCTAGTGCAAAGTTCCTCTTTTTCTACTGAATTGGCCTACAACTCGGGTCCGTGCTCAGCTTGTGAGTAATGATCGAAGGGTCAATTCTAGGCATGTTAACAATAGACCAAGCAAATACATTGGCATTAGATTTGAGGAAGCTTACTAGTTCAGAAAAGGGTGTCTGGAGGAAGTTTGGACCCGGTGCGCACCGTTTTCTCAAGCTCAACCTCGTCTAGGGATACTGAGACGAGGTCCTCGGCCGGCTGACCTCAGCTCACTGGTTCATCCTTGAGGTCAAGTCCTTCTAACGGCAAAGCTTCTTTATTTTTGCCTTTTAGTGTTGTCACATAGCACTATCTGGCTGCTTGTTGGTTCCCTTGAACGACTCCGATGTCGTGCTCGGTTGGGACTTCATGGCGAGGTGGTAGGAGGAGATGGCCGCCTTGAGTGCATGGTCGGCCTCCTAATGATGGTGTTGTAGGGAGAGCCGATCTTCACAACTAAGAGCTTAGTCATCCTTATCACATGTCAAGGCTCTTTTCCTACTGTGATTGGTAGGGTGATTCTTCCCTTCGGTTTGATGACATTCCCGGAGAAGCCGACGAGTGGCATGTCGGTCGCCTGTAGCCGCTCTGGAGTCAGCTTTATCTTTCCAAAAGTATCATAGAAGAGGATGTTGGCTGATGATCCTCTATCAATAAGGATCCTCTTCACCATGAAATTGGCAATGGTCATTGATGCCACCAATGCGTCATCATGGTGTACCGGGACCCCCTTCAAGTCATTGTTCAAGAAGGAGATGACTTCACTTGCTTTCTGCTTCTTGGGCATCAGGCCTTGGATGTTGAGTTGCCTGGCGTAGGCCTTATGGGTCGAGGCTGAGGCGCCACCCGAGGCCATGCCCCCTACTATGACATCGATGACTCCAACCTGATTGTTGTGATGATGTTGTTGTTGTTACTGTGAGAACGAGGCACTGGCATCGCCCCCCACATATTCTTTCAAGTGACCACGGCGGATGAGGGACTCGATCTCGTCTTTGAGTTTGTAGTAGTCCTTGATATCATAGCCGGTGCCGCGGTGGTACTTGTAGTACTTCTTTGGGTTACCCCTCTTGGGGTTCCTCTTCATCTTGGTTGCCCACTTTATGTAGTCCTCCTTCCCTACTTGCACGAGGATTTGCATTCGGGTGGAGTTGAGTGGTGTATACTTATTGAAGGACGGGACTAGTGGCTTCTTGTCAGAGTCCTTGTTGTTGTGACCATGGCTACGACCGTCTCTAACCTTCCTCTTCTTCTCTAACCCCCCTTGGCTAGGGTTGGCCTCGCCTTGTTGGCGCTTGCCGGTTGAGGCTTCCTTAGTGGCGATGTACTTCTGCGCCTTCTTTAAAATATTTGCCTTGGTCTTTGGTGGTGTCTTGGCGATGGACCACTTGAGGGGTCCAAGCAGGAGGCCATTGATTGCTGCATGCATTGAAACCAAGGGGTCGAGGTCTTAAACCTTGAGTTCTTCCTTCTTGAAGCGATTGATGTAGAACCACAAGCTCTCTCCATGCTTCTGTCGGATGGACATGAGGGAGACGATGGTCTTCTAGCACCATCGGCTGCTGACAAAATGGGAGAGGAAAAGATTGGTGAATTGCTCCCACGAGATTATGGACCCAGGTGGGAGACTGAAGAACCATTGGCGTGCTGCTCCCTTGAAGGTCGCCTGGAAAGCTCGGCACGTCGAGGCGTCGAAATATCTGTAAAGGATCATGAGCGCTCGAAAGCTTTCCAGGTGGTCGTCTGGTGATGGTGCCGATGAAGGCGTTCACCTCAGCCCTCCTTAACCTGCTGAAGTTCATCTTGCATTGCGCCGATCTGCGCTTGTAAGTCAACAATCCTATGACCAATGAGAGCTTGGGCTTCGTCCTGGTCCTCTCGAACACAGAATGGGTCAGACCAGTTCCCAGAGTTCTCTGATGTGGGCACATCCTAGTTCCTTCAGGCTCGTCGTCGTTGAGGAGGTTGCAAAGGTCTAACACATATGAGGGAGAGGTGTGGCATTAGCATCCAACCCTCGGAAGGGAACTGTAATGGCTAGAGCCCCGCCTTTGTCCTGGGGGCTCTCAACTCAGTAATGTCGTTCGTGGTCCCGACGGTTGTTGTGGGCCCTGTTGGATCTTCCCCCCATTGGCTGGGGAGGCAGGAGGTCTTCGATGGCTTGCTGGTGTGTTGGTTGCTACTATTGGATATGGAGGGGTCAGCTTTCTTGGGGTTGAGGGAGCGTTGAACCAGCAAAGCATGTGAAGAGTGTCCACTGTGATGCCCCAAGCTCCTAGCGGGGCAGCTACCTTGAGGGTGGCCTCCTACCGGGCACCCCACCTTGTCCAACCTTTGAGAGATGTTATTGAGCCGATCGAGGACCACCCTGAATTGGTCCATGGTGATCAGGTTCTAAGCATTTTGAATGTTGTCCTGGTCATTAGCCATTGCATTGAAAGCTTAGTTGTTCTATATGACAAGTGTTTACTTAGGGGAAGTCTTAGCAGTCGATCCCACAGATAGCGCCAATTGTTGCTGTCAAGGATAGGCTGAGGGCAACAATGTAATTATGCTTCCGTAGATGAGGGCTAGTTGAGTCCAAGGGTTGATAGATCCAAGGGCTTCAAGGTCTGACTTGTGAGCAAAGGAACACGTTAGAGGCCTCGAGTGTTATCCCAGGGGCGGAGACTCCGATGGTCAAGTTAGTAAGGGCACAACAAGGGGTCGAATGAGGCCTGAGTAGAGGTATCTCAGACGAGGTCACTAGAGAGCTAGGGAGCTTAGAGCAGTAAAAGCCAAGATAACTTACCTAGGGAGTGATGTCACTTATTTATACTTGAGCTCGCCTGGAGGTTATTAGTAGTGGACGGCTAGGATTCCATCCGACCCATGCCATGTGTTGCCATCCTGGGCTTACCATGTGCACCTACATCATAATCTTAAACCAGAAATGATGGAATACACTGAAGCTTCACCCAATGTGAACATACAATTGGTCTGTTGGTACACATAATGTAGGTGAGAGGGTGTAACCGAGCCAAATCAAGTTGAGTTTTAGGTGGTTTGAGATCGGATTCGACCACCTCGATGCAAAAGCTTAGAGTTGAAAACTTGATTTGAGATCGGATTTTGAGTTTTATATTTGAACTGGACTCAATAATTGTGAGCTATTCGAGATTTATTAGGCTTAGACCAATTATAAATAAATTTCTATTAAATATTATAAGTAAATTGATATGTAAAATATTATGAATAAATTAATTTAAAAATCAATATTTATTTATATTATAAATAAAAATATATTAGAAAATAAGGATCCATTTGGTTTATAGTCGGAATTGAAATTAAAATCCTCTAGAATCAAAATCAAAATGCTCCATTGCCATAATCTGTTTGGTTCAGATAGGAATGAGAATGGAAATTAGAATCAATAGGAATGAGATTTCATTCCATTAGGAATGGGAATGAAATTCCGGTTCCGCCCAACCAAACAGTTATAATCAAAATAACCCATTCCAATTCCTATTCCAAACCCCTATTCCCGCAAACCAAATGGTGCCTAATCTTTTTTTGATAAATCATACTTAATAAGTTAATATTTTATTTAAAGATCAATAGGCTAGCTAAGTATTGTAGAGCTCAAACTCAACTCTACTAACTATTCAACTTTTTTTAAGGCTACTAATTATTCAACTTGAGTCAAGTTAAACTCGACTCAATAATCTTTGAACCGAGTTCAGATATTTAGGCAACACGAATAGCAAGCGAGTTGGCTTGGTTCGCTTACACCCATGTGTGATGCAGCCCAAAGTGATCCATGTAAACCCATGGCGTAACCTTCACCCAAGTTGCTCCTGCCATGGGAGCAAGGATTAACTGAACACCATTGCTGTTTAGCAAGCAATGTGAAACCAGTGGTAATGTTTCATGTCATCTATACAATACATTAGGCTCGCACTTTTACAGTGGGGCCCATGAATTTATAACTGACGTGTAATATTATCATTGATTCCAAAGCCTATTGAATAACCATCACGTTTAATTAATCTAAATTGAGAAAATTCCCCATCAGAACCTATTACTTTGGCTTGAGTGACAATTTAATTCCTAAACTTTAAAATGTGACAATCTAATACTCGAACTTTTAAAATGCGATAATCTAGAACCAGCCGTTAAGGGGCATGTGAAAAGTGACAAATGCCCATCCATCAATGGCACCCCTTGTTATTTTGTCAAATCCTAGTCCTAAATATTTTAATAACTCAACCAAACAAGATAAATTACTCAGCACTAAGGTTGGGGACTATGGGTCTGGGGACCTCTATTCTATTCTCCATTATCAAACTGTTGTTATCAAATCAAAGCCAATTTTAGAGAAGAGCTACGGAATCAGCGAGCAAACAAAGAGAAGCAAATGAGAAGAGTCCTAGACCCATACTTCTGAGATCGAAAATTTCCTTTCGGGTCTTTTGTTTTTTGGTTGTATTTTGAGATGAAGAGAGCACTCGTCATCGACAATGATCCAACAGTTGATGACAAGAAAAGAAGGAAGAAGAAAATGAGCGAAGAAGAAGAGGAGGAGAGTGGTCAAGAGACTGGGTTTGTGCTTCTCGATGATCTATGATGTAGCGTGATCTGGTCACTCCTATCTGGCAGGGGCCTCACTCCTAGCTGGCAATGGACAACACCTGAGAAGGAGAAGAAGACGAAGGATTCCCGGGGAGCTCGCCTGGCGGGAACACTCTGATTCTTAAGTTGCGAAGAAATAAATGGTAAGAGTGAAGATGCGCAATTTTCAATTACCTTTTTCCCTGGGGGTCGGAGCCCTTATATATTAATGCTCTGTCAAATCGGGTGTAACCGCCTCTGATTCTCTGCTACAGCCGTTATTCGCCAG